CCTCACGCACTGTTTCAGTGACCATTCAGAGCCAACACCTCCCTCTAGTGGTGGAGGTATGAACAGCATGCTCAACTGTACCGCAACAAGTAGCAGGATCACTTTTTTTTTTACCATTGTATATTGTAGTATATTTCAAACTGATCCTGCTAACACTGAACATGTCACCACTGATATCAGCTAGGGTTGTTTTAATTCAGTGTTTTTGCGGCCATGTGATGTAAAAAATTGGACCAGAATCCACCGCTGTAATAAAATCATCTCCACCTGTTGAACCTAGTCATTTTTCATCTTCTGTACAAAAAAATATTGTATACACTGGGTGAAACTTGGTCGTGATGTATTCTCCTTTTAAAAAACGTAAAGGAGAATAGCAATAAACTTTTGATTTATGAAATTAAAGTTGCAAAAAGAAACTGCAGTTCACACAAAAATGCTCAGAAAGTGTCTGTTGTACTTTAAATGAATGTTAGCCTCATTTAGACAAACTCACTGACTTTAACACATGTACTTTAACCAGACTGAATCCTACCAAAAGGTTTTCAATCAACAGAAATCATTATCTCTAAGACCACTGATACCCAGTTTATTCAATTTGGGCCAAATCCTGCCCGCAATAGGGTGCCAGGTGGCCCACCAACCAATTTCTACTTCACAATGAAAATAAACTGATCGACAATGTGATTTTTTTGGTACTTTAAGTGTAAGTAAGGTGCCAAAATCCATTAAAAAAGCGTATGAAACTTGTAAAATAAAATAAAAAAGTGACTGGGAGGATTCCCCCGGACCCTCCAACAGAGGTCCAGGCTATGTCCTGAATGTCTAAAATTCCTAGAAACGCCTCTGCAATTCATTTGATATACATACTGATAAATATCATTAATGTTTATTTATTGACTGCTCCCCTGGCACTCTGTCATTTTTTAAAAGTGGCCCCCGGGTAAAGCAATGTGAGTATCCCTGTCGTAGAACACGTTAAAGCTGGTGTAGAAAACAACTAAGGGACTAAAACTATACTGAAATATATGAACGATGCAGTGTGTTGAAGAGTTGCAAACATCAGAACTGGACTTTGTCATTTTAAAATAATTATGTAGTTTTATTAAACTCTTTCAAAAGTATTTAGATTCAAGTTGATAGAAAACTCCAAATGCTGAAGGTACTGTGCTTTATTAATACATATATTTTTAATCCTAATAATAGCCTAAGAGATGGAGGGATTTAACACATTCACAGATTTTAATATTTTCCTTAGCAATATATGTCCTGTTTTGTTTTACTTTAACCAAACCCCAGTCACAGAATTGACTGAGTTGGCAGTAAATTGACCTCAGATCCTGGTGAAAGCAGCGCTGATGCACTCAGTAAACATTCCCAGTGGAGAGGAAAAACACACCTGAGCCTGGAGGTGTGGGAGCCACGTGCAGAGGGAAGTGAACCCAGGTCTTATTTTCCCTAACACTGACTCCCCGGATGGCTCGTCCCTTCTCCCCTTTCCTCGCTTGACTTACCTTCCTTGTCTTCCTTTATCCCAAGCCTATGTGATGAGCACATGTCCCTGAGGGCCCATCCGCACAGAGTTTCACATTCTCTGCAACACATATCGTCTGACCTGAGATGAACAGACAAGGAATTCTGGCAAGAGAGGGAGTTATTCTGCCTGAAGGGGAGAGGGAGCTGGTAGTGGGATATTTCAGGATCTCCTGGGGCTTTGTTGGCATCCCGTACGGCTTTGTTATCAGCTCCAGTTGGGAATTAGGGGATATTCGAGGGGAATCCTGGGCTGCTGGTGGGGTGGGGAAGACTTGGCAGTTAAATGTACAAGTAAAATGTGCATTTGATTTGTGTTGGGTGTACGGGGTTGTTATAGTTTTATGGTTTACATCAAGATTTTCTTTTTTACTTTATTGTGAAATGTGCTTTTTATTTCAGAGGTATTTCAGCCTGAGCAACACTTTTTTTATTGTTCAGTATTGATACTGATGTAACTATGAGGTTAAGACAAAGTGGTATAAATGAATAAGGTAGGAGCTTAACTACTTAGCAAGGTAACATGTAGTTACTGCTGCTACATTATCAGGTGGATATGAAGAAATACTTCACCAACAAAATGATCATTTGTACATTGATCATGCACTCACCCAGTGTTATGTTGAATTCATGAAGAACACTGTTTTTCTCACACGTCTCCACAGTGAACGAAAAATCCAAAAACAGAGTAAATTCTGGATGAACTGAAGTCATGGGGGCTGCTGCCTTTAACAACAGCAAAACTATATCAAACTCAAACTCTTGAACTGTGCTCGTGCATTGCAATTCGGAGAAGTTTTCCTTAGGGATTTTTACCAGCGATGGAATTCTTGGTAAAGGATAGAAAAAAGTTATGGTTTGGGTTAAAATTAAGAGATTTCTGTGAAAAAGGGCATTGTAGGAGAAAGTCAACTATCGGGGAAAACCTCTCCCATGTGCTTATGCCTTTCCACTGAGCAGAGTTTACACGCACGTGCTCGCCCAGGTGCACTACTGGTCCATGCACGACTGTTTATGTGGAAGTGTTTTAAATGGTAAGGTTTTAGGGAAAATCTATGTGTTTGGGAAGTACTGAGCATACAGATGGATAAATGAGACTTGGATTCTACTGCGCTAGTTGTGTGATGGTTTGTGACTGCTTGATTTGTTTTTGTGTGCTGTTGTTAAACATGAACTCTACTTGAATTCACAAAGAATTTTCTCCAGTTTTGGATTCTTCGTTCCTCATGGAGCAAGGGCGTAGGTTTTGTTTCAACACTTGGGGGGACACAAATGAAACTTGGGGTTTGGGATCTTTCCCTGGGAAAGATCCCAAACTGCTATTTTCATGCTCTTACTGGGGGACAAATGATCATGTTCTCGAGGGGGACATGTTCCCTGCATCCCCTTCGACATCTACACCTATGCCACAGAGGCATGCAAGAGGTGAACAAATGGTAAATGGATCTGCATTTGTATAGCGCCTTTCTAGTCTTTTGACCACTCATAGCACTTTTTATGTAAAGAGTCACATTCTTCCATTCACACGTAATCATACACTGGTGGCCGAGACTACTATACAAGGTGCCACCTGCTACTCATTTTCTAACACACTCACACACTGATGGAGCAGTCACCAGGAGCAAATTAGGGTTCAGTATCTTGCTCAAGGATACTTCAACCTGTGGACTGGAGGAGCCGGGGATCCAACCGCTAATGCTCCGATTAGCGGACAACGCAAACCCAAATGATCATATTGTGGGTGAAGTATTCCTTCAAAAAATGTTTTTAAGTAAGTGAGAGAGACATTCTCTATCCTCCAAACAGTTGACTAGGACTTGACTGTTGACTAGGTAGATGGGAGATGTTATTCTTCCAGTCTATCCTGGACCTCTGGATGTCCTCCAGGTCAGTCCTGCCTGTAACATCTCCAAAGTAGGTATCAAGGAGGCATCCTTACTAGATTCCCAAATCACCTAATCTGGCTCCTCTGAGTGTCAAAGAGCAGCAGATCACTGACATGATTCCTTTGTATTCTTAGCGATCACTGCCAAAACTTGTGATCACATGGTGGGGTGAGCAAAGAGTCAAACAAAAGTTGAGAGTTTTGCTTCATAGTTTAACTCTTTCTGTGAGAGTGTGGCTGGTAGAGTGGGATATTCACTAATCACACAGGTTAGTGTGTTGTATGATAGCTTGAAGCCATATGTGTGCAAGTGAACATGTGAATGGGTGATGAGAGGCAAATTGTAAAGCACTATAGATGCAGTTCAGACCATGGTGATGACTTTGCAATCAGATTTCATCCAGAACTTTAACTACGGTAATTTTAAAACTGAACTTGGAGTGTGGCTGTACATAGAGGACCAGTAGCATCTGAAAACAGGTTCAGTAGTTATACTGATTTAGTCAACTCAGGCAGCATCTCAGGTTGATGTCATTTAGCCTGACACTGTACCTATGACATCAGTGTTAACAATGACTCAAGTAAAACAGAAAAATCAGGTGACACAATTAAAAACAGACAAAGTTCAATAAATGAACACAGAAAAACAAACAAAAAACTTGAAAATCTAAAGATCACATACTGTAAAAATACAGAACCAGCAGGCTGTAACAAAACTTTCAATGACACCAGTTTCTTCTCTACAGCCCTGTGACCCAGTCACCGTACCCTTCAGGGAGCTGTAGGCCTGCAGTGTTGACACACCTTGGCCTGTGTGTGCTGCCTCTGCAGCGTCTGTCATTTGTGAGGCAGCGGGCCTCTCAGCTGCTCTCCACGCCCTCACCTCCTCATCCTGTGAATAGACAGCAGCTACATTAAGCCCCTCTGCCCCACAGCACTTTCACCTGCCGAGTAAAGGCTGCCCGGATAATACGGGATCACCTTGCACCGCCTGCAGCTCCACTGAACACACGGCCCACTGATGAGCTGCTCCCTGACAGACAGAGTGTGTGTGTGTGTGTGTGTGTGTGTGTG